GAATGCACCTCCAACACATGGCCACCAGTGAGCCAACACAGAAGGAGAGCTCAGCACCCATGGTACCTTCCAGGGATGGACCCAGGCATGGCCTCAGGGTCCTGCGGGCACAGTGGAGACCAGGGCAGGATTAACCCCTGAGCAGAACAAGCAGAACTTCACGAGTTGGGGGAACCTCATGGTGCAACCCACATGGGCTCCTCCATGTCTCCCCAGCCACCTAGGAGAAGGTCACGAACAGGACCCCACTGCCCTGGGGAGCACAAAGTGCTGAGTTTTGTTAAGATCGCAGTTCAATGACAGGAGCAAGATGGAGCTGAAAACTTCTGCCTGGTCCTTACCACATCCTGAAGCCCAAAGAGAGAAAAGCTGCACTGTTGGGATGCCTGGGAGTAGTGGGGCCAATGCACTTGCTGGACAAGGCTGCCTTGGCATTGCAGCTTCATGCATGCAGGGAGGACATGCACACCAGGGACGCATCAGATGGCCTGGCCCGTGGCCCATATGCAGGGGTACCCAAAAAGCAGGAACTTATCCCAAGAAAGACCCAGTCCTTTTCCAGTCTCCCCCAGTACAGCACATGCAACACCCCAGCACTGATTTAGTCCCTTTGGCATGCAACCTGCAGTCCTTCTGGCTTTTGCAGGCACTTTGGGGGATCCCTACCAGGGAGGGGGTCACTTCTGCTTTCTCACTCAGGGCGAGAGCCTTTTCTTCCCTGTTCCCTGTCTCAGAGCCACATCCAGCCCACCATCAGGCACAGTGAGGTCCTTGGGCTCTCCACTCCCAGATGCTCACACTGCCCAGCCTAAGCCCACAGACACCCACATCTGGAGCACATCTGGAGGCAGACCTGGCCAGTCCCCCCTCCACAACCGGTGGGGAGCAAAGGGCCTCCTGCTGCCCGCAAAGCTGCTACCAAACCTTTGCAGGGGAGCAGCATGGAGATAGGTGTGCGTCTGTCTCACCATTGCAGATTTTGGGGCTGGATGGAGAGAGGCCAAGTCCTGCCTCTCTTCACACCACCAATTCGGGGCTGACACCCCCGGTGCCGGTGGGATGCAAACAGGGGATGTCGGTGGATTCACTGCAGGGCTTGTGCCAAGCTGAGAAGTGCCTAAGCCCTAAACCACCTTTAGTCAAAGCACTGGGACAACTCGTGCCCGAATCTATCCCTACCATCCAGGGGACACTTTCCCAACATGCTATGGACCTCACCATTAGGTCTGACCCATTGGCACAGGGGCAGCTACTTGGAGTGCCTACCAAGGGGATCTGAGGTCAGAGACTGGCTGGAGGGAACCAAGCATGGGGGGCAGATGAGCCCAGTGGCCCCGGTGAGGGTCCACACAGGGTGTCCCTGAATTTCCAAACACTGAAGAGGCTGAGATCTATCCCTGGAGTGACAGGTGCTACCTCTTCTCCAGATAACAGGGATAGGTTTAGAGCAGTCCTGTTTAGCAGCTTGCAGGTCCCCAGCGCCATCTATACCAGGGGGTGCCTGCTCCCATCCTGAGGTTGGGCACAGCCCATCCTGCAGGAGAAGGAGTTTGGACCATTTCACTTACAACACAGCTGAAAACAAATCCTGTGAGGTATGGGCAGAAGGGAGAATGGGGAAAAAGGAGATGAGGAGGATGCAGGTCCCTCCTGCAGGACACGGCTGCGCATCCTCCAACCTGTGAAGGGTCTTGGCTGAGACCCATCCCACCAAGCTCCAGTCCTTCTCAGCCCAGAACCAAAACCTGAGCTGGATAAGGGTCCTCAGGGGTCACGGGCTCTTGACACCCACTGCTGCACCCAACAGAGCTGAGAAGACAACCTCTGCACTCTCTTCTCACAGGGACACATCTTCATGGCACTCAGGGATAGGTAGGCAGGACAGGAGACCCACCTGGCTGTGAATGACCTGGCCCATGAAAAGCGCTGTGCTTAGCAGGACACCATGAGGCTGTCCCTGCCACCCAGACCCTGAGACTTGTGTCTGTGCCACCGCTTCTGCTAACCACTCACAGCCAGGGCACAGAACGGGATGCACGTGCAGCACCATGCACACCACACAACGAGGACTCACCCGCATGGGATCAGCCCAGAGCTGTTGGTGGCATCCACCAATTTGCATGGCAACGCCAAAGTGATTAAGCTCAATTAATTCCTAATGACAAATAAATTAAGTGAAACCTCACAGGGTGAGATGCCAGCCCGCTGCAAGCCTGCTTGTCCTCAGCTTGACTTGTGCCGGGCCAGGGATGTCTCGGAAGCAAGGAATGCGCACAGGGCTTGGAAAGATGCTGAGGTTATCTGGCTGGTGCATGGGTCTCTCTAGGTCTTCCAGCATCCTCTGAGCCCTGCAGCAAGCAGGCTACAAGCAGGCCAGCCCTGCTGAGGTCCCACTGGCCTGTCTGGGCTGCTGCTCCATCTGGAGTGTTCTCTCCAGCCCAAAGAGCTGCTCCAGCTGAACGCTTCCCCTTGGGACCAATTCCTGCCTCTCCCCAGGCAGCCAGCCTGCAGCTGAGTGTTTGCAGATGGGGCATTGCAGGCACAACGGGGTCAAGGCTGTGCCTTGCCTGGGGGGGTATGTTCCCCTAGGACCCAGACTGGAGGACCTGGAGGACCTTCCCTGTCGGACCTGTGAGGATGCTGCTTTTTAAGCTCCTCTTTAAAAGCAGACAAAAAGAGAAGGCAAAGATGACAGCATCCACCTTTCCCACACATATGTTGTCTGCACGCAGAACTTCTGAGCTAGGGGGACATATCCAACGTTTGCCATGGTGGGTGAGAAAGTCCCTGGGCGGGTGCCCACGGCTCAGGACAGAAGTGCAGCAGCAGATGGGAAAGCACAGGGGGACCGGGTCCAACTGGACACAGACAGGGAGAGCCGGGGGTGGGGACACTGGGGAGGTCGTGGGGGGATGGATGGACACACAGCATCAAAGGCACAGGGAGAAATTCCTTAATCCACGTCCCCGCCACACAGAGACAAAAGTTGGAGGAAGGCTGTGCATGGTAATTTTTTTGGCCAGGGGGGTCTGCATGTCACTGCCTGCCTTTGTGCACCTGCCAAAAGTCACTCCGGCTGGCTGTGAAGCGCT